TTCCTGCACATCCCAGCCTCCAGCTTTCACAGCATGGCTGTGAGCTGGCTCCTCTCACCAGCATTCAGACCTCAGGAAATGGAATCTGGACTGGTCTGTCCACAGATAACATCTTAGATTTTACTCTCTTTCCACCTGGGTAGCGGGCTCTGTCTTTTCTACTCCCTCCCTCTTGTGTGGCCAAGACTCTGCAGCAGTGGTTGTCACCCTTCCTAATGCCGCAACCCCTTAATACAGTTCCTCACATTGTGGGGACCCCCAACCATAACATTATTTTCATCGCTACTTCATAACTGGAATTTTGCTACTGTTATGAATCATAATGTAAACACCTATGTTTTCTGATGGTCTTGGGCAACCGCTGTGAAAGGGGTTGTGATCCATCCATGGGTTGAAAACCACTGCTCTACAGGAAGAACTGAACCCTTGTGCCACGTGCTTGGGGTGTGGTGGGGCTTCTCCCAGCAGAGGAAGCCTGCAGGACCTGGAGGCAGAGATGCTGTGGAAGTCTGCACTTATCGTCACCCTGTACAGTCCTGTTTACGTGATCTTCCCAGGAGTGATGCTCATGACTCTTCCTAAGAAGGGCAGCGCTTGGGCCAATCAATGATCTGGGTCTGCCACTGGCAGTGGGATCCTGTTACCACCTAAACTAAGACAGGCTTTCTTGCCTGGGAATGGTGCCAAGGCAGGGGAAGCTGGGAGGGGGCTGGGGACCTGCCAAGCCTGGGGGTGGGGTGGGGTGGGGTGGTGGTGGTGGTGTTCCAGGCCCAGGACAGAGGACAGCTGTGATGGGGCGAAGGCAGACTGGGCTTGAAGGGGTTTCATTCCCGTTTGCCCAAATCAGAACAGGTGGGCTCAGACACAGAGGACAGCCCTGGGAATGCAGGCTGAAAACTGCAGGTTGAAGAAACAGGCAGCTTTGTGACTGCTGCCCTGGCCGTTAGGAAGACGGGCCTGTAGGCAGGGCTGGGGGCTGCAGAACAGGGTGGGGGGGGGACACTTCTCTGCCACACTAGGCTGGCAGGTATGCACTTTGTCACGTTCACTAGGGCAGAGGGGGGAACAGCAGAAAGGATTGAAATGACTGGGCCATCTCTTCAGCATATTCGGCTCATAGCCCTCCAGTGACCTCCCTGGTACAAAAACTCTTTCAATGACATGGCCACCTGTTTGCAAAGGCTCTGTCATCAGGCTTCTCATTCCTCTGTTTTTTTTTTTTTTCCCCTATGGCTCTCTCCTACCCTCTTGCTCTTTTTTGTCAGTCTCTGTCTAAAACATACACACACACACACACACACACACACACACACACACACACACACACACATGCACGCATGCACGCACACACGCACACTACCTTATTCCTCAAAAATGACCAAGAAAACAGATGGAGCCACACATTCAGCGGCTCCTGTTTTGTTCTTTGCATGGATTTCATGAAGGTCAAGCTTGCTGGGGCACTTGGCAAGGGTCAGGGCCACTTAGCACAGGGTCTTGCCAACATGGAAGCCTGACAAATGTGCTGATTCAGGGACCCCATCATTGTACCAAAGGCCTGGTCCCCAAGAAGATTCACGACAGAGACAATATAACCTGGTCATTTTGCATCCCTGAGGCTAGCACTGTGTCTAGCATAGAAAGTGCAGGACTGGTCTCAGACCCTCTGAGTGTGTGTGTGTGTGTGTGTGTGTGTGTGTGTGTGTGTGTGTGTGTGTGTGTTGTAGAGGCACATGCTGTAGGATATGCAGAAGACATGGAGGCAGGAGAATCATGAGAATCTTCATCCAGGTATGAAGTTACAGTTCTGTTGGCCATGAGTTGAATGCCAATGAATTGGCGGTGTTGATTGAGGAAGACGTCTTAATACAGATGTCCAACAAACGAGGTTATGCACCAACCCATTGATGAAAAGGTTGTGACCAGAGGTTCTCAGTAACCTGACTCTCTTTTTCTCTTAGGGGCAGTGGTTTGGTATTTGCTAATTCAGTGTTCACAGATCTTTATAAAATACCACTACAACAGGCAGTGGTGGTGCACATCTTTAATCTTAGCACTCAGGAAGCAGGGGTAGGCAGATCTTATTAGTTTGAGGCCAGCATGGTCTACAGAGTGAGTTCCAGGACAGACTCCAAAGCTATACAGAGAAGCCCTGTCTCAAACACCTCCCTGCTCCAGAAAAGAATACCCCTACTACATATAATGCGAATCAGTGGTACTCACAACCTCACAAGTGAGACAGGCGAACTAGACCACATTGATTTCAGCAATCATTACACGCTCTCCTGTCATAGCCACATAGTAGCTCCCACTGTAACCCCTTGGGTAAGGAGAGGTCCCAGAAGCAGCAGCTCAGCTCTGGGTGGCAGACAAGGCAAACCTTGTACAGCCTCTGTTCTCCGAGAGCCTGTGTTTAGTAAGGGTTGACATCTGATGTGCAAACTGGAGTGAGATGTGATGCCAGGCTGAAGGAGGTGAGGAGACACAGCACGAACATCTGCTGGTTAAGCAAAGGCAGCTTGAAGCTGTGATACCCTCAGGACCATTCAAGGGTCATCTAGGAAATCACAAGAGTCGGCCAAAGCCTAAGAGGAAGGACGCTTCGGAGCTCTCAGCCCTTGCTGTAGCCTATGAGATGGTTGACTCCCCTACCTGATGTGCCAGTGTCCTGCTCGCCAAGCATCTGACCCAAATGGTTAGCCTCATCAGTTCTGCTATAACCCAGTGAAGTAGGCAAACTGTGCATCCTCTTTCCAGGCCATAGAGGAGGGCTGGGGATGCTGGGGAGACTTGGATTTTATTCTGGGTCAGACACCACAGTCACGTCCATGACTGTGTCCTTTATGGCATCCTGAGACTAGAGCTGCTGGCTTTCCTATGTGATGACCTGCTTTATGAATGACCCTGACTATCCTCTGGCTTTAGTTTATCTTTGTTTTGTGCCATAGGAGTCAGGGATGGCACCATACAAGGGGAGACTGAAGACATATAAGAAGCAGTGAATGGTATTTTCTCTTCTCAGACCTGCTTAACCTAGCTGTGGAGCTGGGTGGTGAGGCACTCTGGCCCTTCTGGAACCTTCTTTAAGCCCCAGTGTCCTGAATGCTCACTGAGATCAGTGTCCTATGGGGCTGGGATAGCATCATGGCACAAACTAACAGGGACAACAGAGACCTGCGTTTTGGTCCTGAAGGATTTCAGGAAGGGGCCAGCTTTAATGATTGCCCCGAAATAACAATTGTACCATGCTGTGATAACTAAGGCATGCCCAACCAGTCAGTTAGGTAGCTTCAAAGTTCCCAAGGAAGGAATTAGGTTGAGAATGCATTCATTCCTTTTCTGGGAGGTCTCAGTATGCTGGACAAAGAAATTTATCTCCTTCTGCCTTACAAGGTAGCATCGGGGACCTCTTCTGACTTGACACAAGCTGGTCTGCCTTCCAAATGCACCTCTCCACCGTCCTTTGTGGGGGCCAATCCTGGGGCTACTGCACTATTACCAGATGACCTTGATGTCCGTTTCAGCACAGTTTCCAATCTGCCTCCGAGTCGAGTGCAGCTCAGTGGTTCTCAATTTCTTTTTGCTATAACATGCCTAACAGATTTCAGGCCTTCCCTTAAGGAACTCAAGGCCTCATTATGTCCAACACCCAGAAAAAAGGAAGTTGGCTGTTCTATTGGAGAGGCTGTGTGAGAAATTAGGAGGGTGTTTTTAACTGTCAGAATCTAAGAGAGTGTTTCCTGCCTTTGGAAGAGGAGAGAGATAAGATCCCACCTCCAATTTCTTATAGTTCAAAATTACTGAAAATTACAACAAATGTTATTGGTCCCAAGTACTTCAGGCTGTTAATGAGAAGACTAAAATCTTATCGTATGGGGCTTGTGGATAGCTCAGAGAAGATCAGGTTTCGGGTGGCCACAGGAATCAGTGATGGCTGGAGAAGGGACAAATCCCACTGGATGGGGTCTAACTATGATAGCTCTTCCAGGAGGAGAGAATACAGATCTTGGGATTGGAGAGATGGCTCAGCGGGTAGCCGCTCTTCTAGAGGGCTCCGGTTAATTTCCAGCACTGACATGGCAGCTAGCAGCCATCTGTAACTCTAGTTCTGAGGGATCAGAACCCTCCTCTGGCCTCTGTGGGCACCAAACATACACATAGTACACAGACATTCATGCAGGCAAAACACTGATACATGGCAGATAAAAATTAATTAGAAATTAAAAATGATCTTCAGCTCTCTCCTATTTCCTGGCTCGTTGTCTGCATTTTCAGTTCATTCACCAAGTTACTATTGGTTTCCAGATGAATCTGATTGCCTTCTCCCCTCTTCTAGAGAATAAATGGAAGGAAAAGAAGGAGGAGGAGGAGGAGGAGGAGGAGGAGGAGGAGGAGGAGGAGAAGAAGAAGAAGAAGAAGAAGAAGAAGAAGAAGCAGCAGCAGCAGCACATTGTTATGTGTTAGCAGTTGGCCTGGCCTTTCTTCCCTCCTGACTGTAGGCCCGAGTTTATTTGTAGCCAGCTTATAGGTGTTGTGACAGCCAAGGAAGGGTCCTCATGTATGTCACACATAAAAGTAACAGGAAGTTCTATGGTTATAGCACAGGGTATATTGAATGGATGCTGAGTTACAAGATGGATATCACATATATACCTAGCATATAATTTAGTGGTCTTGTTGAATTTTGAGAAAAAAAAATCCCCTGTCATTGAGGGCAGGGCTGAAGGGAGGGGGAATCTTCTAAAAAGTCAGCAAATTGAATTCAGATAAGTCCAAGGGTCTGCCTCCCTGTGACTCTCCAGGGTGTCATTGCCATACATGTCTTAGGGGAACTGGACAAGTTAAAGTGAACCCAGAAAGAATGGCAGAGTGATAAAGCTTGCAAAAGGTGCAGGGAAGGAAGGGCGAGGAAGAAGTGCAGAAGGAGAGAGAGAGGAAGGACAGAGAGGAGGGTGAGAGCCACTGGCAGGAGGCGGGAGGGGGCAGCCGATGGTACTCACGTGTTGTGGAGCACACACCAGCCACAATGGGGGTCACCTGAGCCAAGACACTCGCCGCAGCTCCGATACTGCCCACAGGACTCCACAGGAACTCTGGTGAGCTAGAACAGCACAATGAAGACGAAGAAGCAGTCAAGAGCCGGCAGAGCACCAGTGGTTCACAGCTAAAATTGCCGTCCTAAAATCATCATATCACCCGAGACAGCGAAGGAGCGTGGAGGTGCTTAGGGCTCCGGCAACAAAGAAACTTTGAGGAGCCATATTGGAGTCAGTGGCTGCATAGTATCCTGAGGATAAAAGCACTTACTAGGTTCTAAGATGTGTCTGGGAATACAGAACACATTGAGTTCATATAAAATATCATAAAAGAGACTTACACACCACACACTTAAATTTTCCTATTACCCTCACCCCCAAATATTTCTGCAAATACCCAATCCATTACATATTTGTTTCCTATCAAAGTAATAAACGAAATGCTCGTTCTTTCTCCATCTTGTTTTGCTTCCCCTCACTCCCTTCCCTTAGGTTAGCACTTTTATTTTTCCAGAGAGCACTTAACCCCCTGCCCAGCACCCTTCCCTCTTCTTCCTCCTGGCTGTTTAACAAGGTGACTGATCTACCCTGTGGCTGCCTCCTGCCTCCTCCTGCTTCATACTGTTGACCAACTTGCTCCAAAAACTGATTTCACTGCAGTTCTTTCAAAGATCAGCCTTGCTATTTCCCCCTACCCACACCCGTTCCATGATTTGAGGCTTCCTCTCCAGCCCAGAGACTTTACATTCGCTTCCAACAGCAGCTTGTTAACATAAAATGTTCCACATGACATTTTCACTTAGCCCAAATGCCTCCATTTCCTGCACGCTCTTAAATATCGTTTGAATTTTCTTTGTTCTCTAAGGCAGCCTTGATGTCGCCTTACATGATGCTCAAGTACCTGCTACATAGTAGGTATTTAAAGATGACACTCATGATCAAATGGAATTTTAATTTTCTTTTTATAGCCTTGGTCTTTATTTCCTATTTTGCCAGTTTCTTCTTTATAAAAAGGGTTTTTTTTTAATATATTTTTTTTCATTTGGGATATTTTATATATCATTTTTTTCTCAATGGAGGGCTTCTTGTCTAGTCTTTTAGTTAGCCAGGACAACTAGCTATGGTCATGATCAGAACTGGCATGGTAAACTGTGCACACTGACCCGGCTGAACCGTCTCTGCTCATGAGTGAGCGTAGGGGCTGTGTTTTCCCTGCTGTTCCATAAAGCATCTGTGCTGTACACTTATGTCCACTTGGCAGGGGCTACATATAACTCCTGCACAGGGAAACTGGCACCAGAGCCTGCTCAATTAGTCTCCACACTCCTTTGGAATTAATTAATAATTAATTCCAAGTCCCACTATGGGCTCCTTTGACTTCATTTCCTTCTTTCCTTCATCTGTCTTTCTGTAGCAGCCTCCTCTCATTCTCACAGATTTGCCCTTGGCCTTCATGGCTTGTTTCAATGTCTTTGCTTTGTATTTGGAATTTTCTGTGTTTTTCACACTTTTTTTTATGTGTATGTCTGTATGCGCATGCACACACATACGTGCGTTTGTTGTGCACACATGCGGAGGCCAGAGAATAACTTTCAGGGATTGTGAATTCTAGGGATAGAACTCAGGCTATCAAGCTTGGTGACAAACATCAGTACCCAATGAGCCATCTCTCTGGCCCCTAGAATTTCGTCTTAAGTTCTACCATTGCCCAGGTGACTCCCCGGAGCACCTCAATGTCTTTATAATTAAGTTTGATGACCAGTTTCTTTTTTAAAATCAATTAGCCTGCTGGCTCTACAGGCAGCTAGGAATTTAGCTTAATCTTGGTACCACTTTAATTTTTCTTCCCCTCCTTAAGCAAATACCTTCTAGTCATGTAAACACATACATAATAGTGCTCAACCCGGAGGACCCTGACTCCTAGGAATTCAGGAGTAGGAATGAGATTCACAAGCTATTTTCAATATTTCCAAAAGCCTAATGGAAATTGGATTGTTGCTATTTTATGTGTTTATGCATACTCATGTGTGTCCCATATTAAAGTAGGAAATATATTATGACTTAATAAATGCAGTTTGTTTAGTAGACAGAATCTTTCAAAATATGACTCCCCGAGGGGAAAAAATAATAAAAAGGACTATAGATGGTGAAAGTTGGGAACCATAAGTACATAATCATGTTTTCATGGGTTCCAGCTGCCTGTCTGGCACTCCATATTTTGCATGGGCTTAAAGGAAAAATATCATGGCTTGTTCAATCAAAAGCATTTTCTTGGTCTAAACTTAATTAACATTCTCCCCAGTTTCTCCTATCAACATGTTCAATAATCTGCCTTGCATGGAATATGCTCTGGAATTCCAGGGTGAACCCTGGGCTCTAGGGTGTACCCTACAATTCTGGAGTATACCCTAAGATGCTGGGGTGTGTTCTGGGGTTCTGGGATGTTAGCTCTGTTTCTGGTGTATACCTGGGGCTACAGGGTATGTCCCCGGGCTTCAGGGCCTGCCTCAGGGTTCTGAAGTATGCCCTGGGATTCCAGGGTATTCCTGTTCTCTGGAGTTCTGGGGTATGCCACTTTTGAGTAAAGAGCCATCCCCTGGTTGAGTTGGATACCTGAAAAACCTTTGCATTCTAAAAATAACTTGCCACTGGTGTTTAATAATGTCAGTAGGCCATAATTATAAAATCCTTCTTCTCTTGATTTTAAACAGCTGCCATTCCCCCCCCCCCTTTGGTTGGAAAAGATGTCAGAGCCTACAGAGGGAGGTTCAAAGCACCCTTGGCCATCACTAGCAATGAGACCCTGTTGTCTCTGAGACTTGTTTTTCCTGTCCTTAAACTTGAGATTAAACCCCATGTTTCTATTCCTGAAGCATATGACCAGGAAACTGATTCATATGGGGTCCAGGGTCCAGCCCTCCACAGGGATGGTTAAGATTATCACAGGCTTTTCTGTGAGCATTGCATTCCCTGTCACTCATTGCACTGACCCATCTCCCGCGTCACAGAGACATGCTCTGAGCCTTCCCTAGCTCTGGGGAGCTACACTGGGAGTTAATAGATCTGGAAGATCCTTAGTCCCTTCATCCATCCTGCCATTTCCTCTTTAAAGGTGACATCAGCTCCTAAGCCATTCACCATTTCACTCTTCAGATGGGGCTCTGAAGTTCCCTGAGCTTCCCGGTTAGATTCAGACCCTTTCCTAGCTTCCCAGTCAGCTCTACATCGTTCTTTGATTTCAGCTACACATCTATATGTGACAGGACAAAAGCCCCCAACAGTCTGAGAGCTAGATCTTAGCTACTGCTTTGCTCCTGGTTCTCCAGATGAACTTGAACAGTTCCTTCCAGGTCTCTTTTCAATCATCTATAAAATAAGCAACCATAGGGCTCATTCTAGATTCCTTTTGAAGCTGACATTCCAGCTCCTTCTAAGTGTCCAGACAAAACCTCACCCAAGTCATTCCGCCCTTCTTGTTTGGCTTTCATGGATATGTATAAACATGATACTAGAGACTTTCAAGAGAACACACCCTGAAGACATTATCTGGGAATCTGGAACTTTCTCTTTGAAAGACCAACAACAGAGATTTTTGCCTTCCTTACAGCTCATTCCCACTAGGCATCATGTCATTTTTTACTATTTGCTTGTGAGGTTGATCTAAATGTTCCCCAGTCTCTTAAAGCATGGATGCTAAAATTAACAGGCCACAAGGGAATTCCAATAGACCAAAGAAAACAGTTGTCATTGTTTGAGGGTTTGATGTCATCTCTCTCCCTTTTGCAGAACCAGGGACCAGGGACTCTCAGAAGTCCCACTCTCAGGCCACCTGCTCTCCAGCATTGCCCAGTACTGCCTCTGTGGCTTCGTCTTCTCTAGCCACAACATTGCTTTCCTGTGGACAATTCTAGAGTGCGCCAGAAGTTTTCCTGACACTTTAGAATCACTTTGGCAAACTGGAATTAGTATAGCCATTCATCTCGGTTGCAAAATATATACCCTAAAGTCCTGGGCTCTGATTCACACCTTGCTAGTATGTTCCAAAGGTGGCCAGATGGTTTCTCAGCCACTTGCCCCCATGATTCCTCTCTCCACCCCAGTATCTGGATTCTCTACCTGCACTGGACACCAAACAAAGCTGCCTCTCCATCCCCCACCTCAGTTCCTCTCCTGACCCTGGAACACAAACCACTCCAGATGCAGAGCCACACGATTAATTAAAAGCACCCCACGCTGATGAAAGTCTTAAGCTACAGTGCCAGGCATGCTAATTAACCAAGTGAGGGAATTCAGACCACAGGAAGAGGTGAAAAAAGAGAAGCGTATGTGTGTCAGGGGGCTGACTTCTGTGGGGAGAACAATCGGACGACAGTGTGACCTGAGCCATCATAGTGATAGATGGTAGCTGAGACCACAGAAGATTGAGGTCCCTTCCCTGGCCACTGGACTCCAGGAGGGGTTGTTGATTGATGTGGCTACAGTGGAGCCCTTAGTGCTTCCAGGGAGGGAGCCCATCCCTTCTCAGGAACACCCCCACACTAGAGCAGGGGAAGAACGTGGCTCCTGGAACAAGAGGGAGGTGTGATCTGTAGAGCTGTCTTGGCACACTGCTCTACCTTTGTGCTACTACCACAGTTTCTGGGTTTTTAATTTTTTTTTTGTTTTTGTTTTTTGAGACAGGGTTTCTCTGTGTGTAACCCTGGTTGTCCTGGAACTCACTCAGTGGACCAGACTGGACTTGAACTCACAAATACCCACCTGCCCCTGCCTCCCAAGTGCTGGGATTAAAGCATGTGCCACCACTGCTGGGCACTGCTCTACCTTTGTATAGAAACTTTCCAGGCAGCGAGCAATTCCTCAAAAACACGGAGCTGTGCCATGTAACACGGTGACTTGACTGCTGGGTACACAGTCAAAAGAAGTGAAACCAGGCCTCCAAGACACATTTGCACGTTCAGATTCCTAGCAGGATTATTCACAATAGTTAAAATGGAAGTTACCCAGTGTCCATCAACAGAAGAACGGATGGACAAAATGTGGTGTGAACTTAGGCTGAAATGGTATT